TGGCATCTAATTTTGCATATAAATAATCAATCTATCCTCTAATTTAATATACCTATACCCTAACTCTAATTTTTAAAGAATAATTTTTTATATAAAAACTTTTATAAAAATAAAAGGTGGTTAAAATTATAACTTTAACCAGGTGTTAAAATTAGTTAAATTCTTAAAATATATCTGAAAATAATTAATTAATATATGTATATTTTTTGACTGATTACACAGATTCAAATGATCATATTCCTGGTTTATTTGAAATTATCGCAGGTTAAAATAATAAATTTTGAATAATATTAACAAAATTTGCAAATTTAATATATTTCAGTATTTGCGCAATGTTTCGAAATACTTCGAAACTATTTAAAAATAAAATTCAATTAGACGAGACGAAAGTATAAAAACTAAATAAAAACTTTTTATTTACATCTAATAATCCCCTTAAATACATAGTATGTGTATTGTTAATTGAAAAAACTTAATTACATAAAAATATAAATTAAAAATCAGGAATGCATTTACTAAACAAAAGAATAATGCACAATATGTATTTACTATAAATGCTCATTTGTTTTCAAAGCAGATTAATTTTTAATTTAAAAATGGAGCTAAAACCTTTAAGCAATTGTCGTGAATGGTTTTATTATCAAAAATCTAAAAATAATGTAATTCTAGTAAATTTAAAATAATTTATTTTTTAATTAAAATGTAAATTAAAATATATTTAAAAATATTAATTGTATATTTTTTTGATTGATTACTTTAAACGAATGTTTTTAAATAGTAAAAAAAAATTTTTTAAAGCAATTTGATTACATTAGAAATTTTTTGATATTAATCGAAAAAAATATTTAAGTACAGCCGATATTTTGTATTCTCTCTTTTTGTTGTTATTTCTATCCATTTCATAAACATTTAAAATATCTATATTTCACTTATTTCGTGCATTTATTTTTACCTTTAAAACTTTTCAAACATTTCTCATATTTTCGAATTAAACTTCCTATTTTATAAAACATTCAAACTAACCCGAATCTCTCTCTATCTCTCTCTTTCTATCTCTCTCTATCTCTCCTTTTCTTTATAAATATCTCTTTCTATCTCTCTCACTCTCCATCTTTCTCTCTCTTTATATATCTTTCTCTCTCTATCTCTCTTTCTCTTTATCTCTCTTTCTCTCTCTATCTTATTCTTTCGCTCTATCTCTCATATAAACTTTCATACTTTTGCAAATTTTTAAATATCCTAATTAATTTTTCGTACACTTTGCAAACATAATATCTGCTAAATCTTCAAAAAAAGCAAGACATCCCAAAAAAATCACAACAAATCGGGCTATCTTTGCCAGAATTCTTGTTGGCACCCCTGATACCGACGTAATGGAAACTGAAAGATCTGCTGAGCATTCTGTTGAATCAAGAAAATCATCTAATATTCAAATTAGTTCGAGATATTCTGAAGGTATTTAAATTTATAACATTTTTCTTATTTCATTAATTTACTATTTATAATATTTCTAATTGAATTTTTTATTTAAAATTATTTTAAAAAGTGCCTAGTAATATGTTAGGAGCTATAATGGATAAGCTTAACGAGCTATCAAAAAAATGAATCGAATCGAAAGGCACTTATCCAAAATGGATGATAGGTTTTCAGAAAGTTTCGACTTAGCTCACGAAACCAATTTTATAAATGTAATTTATTTTTATATTTTAATATTTAATTTATTTAATTTAATTTAAAATAATAAAAAACTATTTTTATATATAGCAATCGGCAAAAGAGATTGCAAAGAAGTTGTTTGAATATTCAATATATCCTTCAGAAGATGAATTACAGGAAGCGGCGAAAGATTTTCTTGCAGAAAATTATACTGAATTTTATGATAGTATGATGGATAAAAGCGGAACACATATTATAAAAAAACATTGCTCAACTAGTAAATATTTTTAATTTTGTTTCGTTTGTCTTTTTTTCATATAATAAAAAACAATTCTAAATATTTTGAATATATTCGAAATATTTTGAATATATTCGAACTATTTAGAATAATTCATTTACTAAATATTTTGAATATATTCGAAATATTTCGAATATATTCGAATTATTTAGAATATTTCATTTACTTAAAATAAATTATATTTTTAGCTTTTAAAACAACATTGTTCTTTGCGAAGTGCTTTGATGATACATGTGAAGGATGCAATCTTTTCTGTATTTGGCAAAAGCCAATTGGATTCAATAAATACGAACGCGACTCCTGCAGATGTTTCGAAGTAGAAAGCTTCTACCAAAATGAAGAAGTGTTGCCAAAAGCTTTTCACAGCAATATCCACTGACCCAAATGATACGTACATGTCCAGTATTCTAAGCAAGGTGTGGCCAGACAAGTTACTAACCAATATTAAAATGGTATACGCAATTGCAGTATTCCAAATAATGTTGAATGATTATTACAAGAAGTTAACAATGTCTGAAGATACTGTTAAGGATAGACTTAGAAGAAATTTGGTATGTGATTAATATATAATAAATTATTTAAAGCAAAAACAAAATATTTAAATATTTTTAAATATATTTGAAATTTTGCGAAATTTTTAAAAATAAAAAAATAGAGAAAAATACAACAAAAAAAGAAATTTTTTCCACCTGGTGAAGAAGAATCAACAGAAGACGAAGAAGATAAGGTGGTTGAAGAAGAAAGGGGTTGAGGTAAAAAGAGAAGAAAACCATAACAATCTAAAAGTGTAATTATAAATTTTTTAAAATTTATGTAACCAAAAATTTTACTATGAAAAGTTAATTTAAATATTTTAATATTAAATTATTTAGTCTTCTTGAAGGGGCAAGTGTGTAAGAAGCACAAAAAGCCCTATAAATATTTCAGATGCGGAAACTTTCCAAGCAACTCCAGAAGCAACTTACGAAGCAACTCACGAAGCAACTTCTGAAGCAACTCAAGAAGAACCACTAGAGGGATCTTCTACTACTAGTGCTAGACACTTGGCTACACACGATGAACTACAGAAGGGATCTTCTACTGCTAGTGCTAGACACTTGGCTACATATAATGCTTAAGAATCTTAATTTATATATATATATTTTTTTATTTTATTTTTTTTTTATTTCTGTTATTTTTTTATTTATAAATTTATTATAATTTTATATATATTTTATATTATTATTTTTTGACTTATAAATAAATATTTAAACTTTGAATAATTTTAAATACTCTGAAATGTTGCGAATACTTTCGAAGTTTTGTCATATAATTGTAATTTCTGTCTTTTTTACTTTTGTTTAATATTTTAATACATTTAAAATAATGTTTATGATTTGCGAAATATTTTGAATTTTTCAGAATAAACTATTCTAATTTTGTTTTATTGATAAATTGAATCATTTTTTAAATATTCTGAACTATTGCGAATACTTTCAAAATTTTGTATATAATTTAAAATAATGTTTACATTATACGAAATATTTTGAATTTTTCCAAATAAATTATTTTAATTTTGTTTTATTAATAAATCGAATTATTTTTTAAATACTCTAAACTGTTGCAAATACTTTTGAAATTTTGTCATATAATTTTAATTTTTGTTTTTTCTACTTTTGTTTAATATTTTAATACATTTAAAATAATCAACTCTTTTTGATGATCACTTGTACACATATTTTGCAAAAAACTTTAGTATTAATTTTGTATAAACCGAAGACATACTTACATAGGTCCTACAGCGGCAGCTATTATTTAGGGATAAAGTTAATTGACTAGCTTGCTAGTAGCCTTAGAGTTTATCACTCACCGCTTTACGGCACTTGTTGTTTAGAGACAAAGTTAATAGACTGTCTGCTAACAAGTTTAGAGTTTATCATTCACCGGCAATAGGAAGAGCCTTCCTGGAGTGTCCACTATAAGGTGAAAGTAAGGGCATAATGAAGTTGATAAAGAAGAACCCACACTTCTTCCTCTCTACAAGTGAAACTTGTGTATCAGCCTCCTACTCGGGTTTTTCATGAATTTTTCCAAAAAGCAGCAATTTCGGCTTATCTCCTTCAGAAAATTAACATTGTTTACATCTGAGAATAGAAACTATAGTGTAGGGATCCTAATTTTCTGCTGCGACAAACCTCAAATTCTGCCTCTTTACACTTCAAATTATGTGAATTATGCGATAAATTTTTTTAAATTATGCTACAGATTATGCGGATCAGATAGAAATATGCGAAATTTATCATTATAAATTTTTATCGTTATTGTTATTGTAAGTACTGAACCCCATCAGTAACTTACCAATAAAACCACAAAATCTGTATAATATAAAATTACAAAAAGAGTCGTATTTACAAAACTGTCTTTTGTATCATTCAAAAAAATTTACTACAAAATTTTAGTATAAGGCCATGCAAAGTTAATTTTTTGTTTTGCATAATCCGCTGACCTTTTTTTTTAAATTTCAATCATGCGCTATTTAATTTTGTCTCCGGTATCACCCAATGGTAACCTTAATTTTCTGGAATTACCCGATAGAACTGAAAAAATATCTAAAATTTTTCTGGGTGTGAACATGAACATAATAATATATTTTTTTTTTAGGTTTTAACAACCAAGACCATTCGGCTTATCAATTTTATTAATTATTTGAATTTTTTAAAGTACATTTTTTATACTAAAGATTCGTCAAATTACATATGAAGACACTGACTCAGATTACTTTATCTGTGACCTGAAGTTGGCTATAGTAGGACGGCAGTTCTTTATAGTCTTATTTTTTTCAGGTTTTAACCCCGGACTAACCGATCCACTACGCCTCTCAACGGGCTAGTCTCTCAGTAAAACCCGCCAGGAGTTCGTGACTTGATCTTCACTACATCTCGTGACTTCAGTTAAACAAATCGTAGTTCAAACCTCGAGGTGTTTGAATGCCAGGTCTAAGCCTCAACAGCCTGCTTCGTAATACTTCTATTATGCCCGCTAAGCCTTTTCATAGAAAATTGTTGTTCGCCCCCAACAGGATTCGAACTGGCGACCTTCCGATTTGCAACCTTGGAGCATAACCGCTATGCTATTGAACCCAAGGTCTCCTGAATATAATATTATTTACAGTAGAATAAAAAAAAAAAAATCTGACCAGCCAACTGAAATTTTGAAACACTATGTTATTCAAAACGAAAAATTAACTTTGTGTCCTAATATATGTTTCTTATTAAATTTTTATACTACTTTAACAATATGTTTTATTACTTAACATTTTACCATTATTTGAAATTTCAAATCTGATAATTTATGAAATTTATGTTTTGTACAATCAAATGCTGCGTCCAATAGGAACTGGTGGGGAAATTGATAAACCCGATATTACTCAATCTTTAATTCTGACCATTTTATGCACAGATTATGCTTTATTAATTATGTGAAGTTCATCTTGATATGCAAATATAGCAGTTGCATATGCTTCTGTGGTAAAATCTGAATTATGCACATATTATGCTATTGCAGATCTGTGGTATCCCTACTTTAGTACATGAAGTTACAAGAAGTCACGTGCTTGCATCGCTGCCAGGTGACCATGTGGTATTGTTGAAGGACTGGATAGGATTAAATAAATTTTTGCTTGGTGGATCTCAACCTTGTAGAAGATGTAGGATTATATAGTTACATTCTTCATTGTAATACAGTGCTGAAATTGTAAAGACTGTGCTGTATAATTTTTACGAGTTTAGTATAGACTTTGACTATACCTATCTAGATTTATTTTGTTTTCTTTCTTTTTTTCTTTTTCTGTTTTTTTGTTTTCTTTCATTTTTCCTTTTTCTCTCCTTTTTTTTTCCCCTTTTATATTTTGTCGTTTTCTTTTTGTTTTTGTTTTTTCTTTCTCTATTTTTCTTTACATGCTCTTTGTGAAGAAGTTAAAATTTTAAGAAAAGAAAGGCGGTCTTGATATAGCATTCAACACTAGTCAGTGATTGACAGAATAAAATTGGAAGGCAAATTCTAAGACCAAATTGAGACAAATGGTTGGTATGGCAGATCGCTTTGGGCAGTTAACTTAGTTATCGCTTGGAGAGACTTTTTTATATAGAACGTTAGTAGTCATATTTTGTACTTGTACAAGGCAGCTAAGACTATGCTTAGAGGTCTTACCCGGGTCGAAAATTACCGACCCGGGCGGGTCAAGTACTGACCCGGGTTATGACCCAGGTCAACGGGTCAACTCCTTGTTTTTTTTTTGTCTTCGGAAACATGCTTAATTTTTTGTCTCAACTAGAGTTATGACCCTGGTCAGAAAATAACGGCAGTCGCGCTAAAACCAGGAATGTTATACTTTATAAGTACATCTTAAAATTAAAATTTTCTAAAATAGAATATATATTTACATTATTTTGTTTCCTTTTAATGATAAATATAGGTCGTATAAGTACTATTTATACGCCAAATAGACGATTAAGCTCAAGCGATTTATTTTTTATTTATTATAAAGAAAAAGCAAATAAGTCCGTTACTGGATGTTTCACATCCAATAACGGCGCATCTGGCTTTGAATTCAATGAGCTCACAAGCTGAGCACCTTCGTGATATGGGTAACACATTAAATTCAAAGCCAGATGCTTTTTAATTGTCAAGTAAAAACGATCACCCTGTGATCTTTTGGATCTTTCGCCTGCCAAATAAAACAGTTATTGGTTGCTACGCATTCATTAACTATATAATATAATTAATATTGTAATAAATTAATTTTCGAAGAGGTTAAAACCTCATTATTATTGTGGACTAAACTATATTGTTGATTCTTTTGAAATAAAAATAAAATAATCGACACATAATAAATAAATGAATCTACTTCCGTATTATTTCATCGACAAAAACGCTTGCTGAAAACTTAGTTCGTAGATAATGATTTTTACAGACAAGATTATTTTACATACGAATAATTCAATATATTGTATCAAGAATTTTTTTTATAAATTGTATCAACTTTAAACATAAACTTAACTCTATCAACTTATGACTAGAATTAATTTGCCCAAAATTAGTTTTTGATGAAATAACTTTTTATGAAACGGACTTGTCCGTGAATTAATCGATTGCAAAATAACCTTGCCTGAAATTAATTCTCTGCGAATTAAGTTTTCCGTGAAGTAATTATTGGTGAGTTGATCGAAACCGAGTGAACCTGATACTATTAAATAAATATTTAATAAAATACTCAATAAAATCAATTAACGTATCTAAAATGATAAGCAGTTTATGTATTTTCCACGTCATTTCTGAATTTATGTCGATTCTGAATTGTCATTTAGAATCGGTATCCATTTAACAAATTAAAAAAAAAAAGCAAGCGAAAAAATTTAGAAATAATAATAATATTATTAAATATCTCATTAATATTCGAACTAACTAACGCGTTTGCATTAAAAATGAGAGGAAAAACAGTGTGATGCAGATATAGGGAATCACCTAAAGATTTAAATAAACCGTTAGAATGAAAATTGTGAACAAACTTTAAAGAAAAATTGCTAAATACTTATCATTAAATAAAGCAATAAATCGTGTTAGTATTTTCAGATTGATGCAAATAGTGATACCTATCCGCATAAAATATGTTTTATTTGGAGAGATACTTAATAACAAAAAAATGCGTTCTATTTAATACGTTTTCATGAAAACAATATTTTTTAAATATTAAACTTCACCTATTCTGAATCTTGACCCGTTTGACCCAATTTCTGACCCGTCAGGTCTGGTGACCCGTACGGGTAACCCGACCCGGTAATAACTCTAGAAATAAAAAAATGCATTCTATTTAAAACAATACGTTTATGCATAAATATCTTTTTTTTTATTTCGATATTGATTTGTAATTTAATAAATTTACCTATTCTAAATCTTGACCCGTTTGACCCGGGTCGAGCCAATTTCTGACCCGTGACCCGTCGGGTCGGGTGACCCGTACGGGTCACCCGACCCGGGTAATAACTCTAACTATGCTGTTCACAATAAAAAAAGGCAAGATCGCTAAATGCAAAAAATATATTTAAAATAATGTTTACATTTTGCGAAAGAAAAAATGTATTTGTCACTTCCCATGACTGTCACGGGCAAATAAGGCCATTAAAGTAAAGTAAAATTAGGGTTAGGGTTAGGATCAAAATTATTAAAATTAGTGTCAAAATTAATACAGAATTGCGAGAGGATCATTTTTTGTTAGAAGTGCAATATTAGTAAAGTTTTGAGTTATAAATAAACCCATAACAAAAAACTGTGTTGCAGAGAACGACAAATACATTCCTCCTTTGCGAAATATTTTGAATTTTTCAGAATAAACTATTCTAATTTTGTTTTATTGATAAATTGAATCATTCAAGTTATTTAAATATATTCGAAATACTTTCTTTATTTTTTGATATTTTAGTTAATTGTAATAAATTAATAGTTTCAAAAACTTTTAAATAATTTTAATTATGTTTAAGATTTTTTATTAAAAAATATATTTGTTTACTAAATATTCATTTGTTTTGTCAAAGTGGAGAATTACATGAACTTGATTTCTAATTGCTTCAATATCAATTACATTAAATAATTCAGTTAATTTAAGCCTAGGATATCCATAATAATATGGATTATTGTCGGATTTAAAATCATACCACTGAATTAATACTAGATTATGTATTAAAGATTTCTTATTATATTCAAGTTTCACTAATAAATATATCTAAAAATTAAATATTAAATATTTATGTTAATACTGTATTTTAAAAAATTAAAAATTAAACCATAAAAAATACCTGTCCATAACAGATTCCTTGATCTGATATATATTCAAATAGTTCTTTAGAATTCATAGCAACTGCTACATTGCTATACCAGGCTTTTTTATAAAAATTATCAGTTGCTCTAATTATAGCCCCATTTTCTAAAGTTATTAAGCTATATATTTTAAATATAATTATCTAAATTAACATTTGTTGAATTAAAATATATAGTTAAATGTTCTAAAAAATTTTCAAGTTCAAAATATATTTAAGAACTTGAATTATAGTCTTTTAATTGTTGGTTAATAAATTCCTGAGCATTATTTAAACTAAAAGTTCAAATTAAATTTGTAAATTTATAGGGGCTTATAGTTTTAAAATTTTTTGATTTGCCTGATAATAATATCGTTGCAATAGCCTGTCTCTGAATTTATTTAATTTAAAATAATTTAGTAAAATTTTATAAAAATACTAAATATTATTTAAAAAATTTAAATAATTACCAATTTCATTATTTGAATTTCTATATTTTGTTTATTAGTTAAATAATAAGGCATTTTAACAAAATCTTTATGAAGACTTTCAAAGGTTTTAGTGAAGAACCCATTTAAAGTACCATACTTTCTAATTAAATCAATAGTATGGTATACCCATGAATGTAATTTTGGAAATAAACTGTTGAGCCCAATTTATTATTAAATTTTAGAAATAATTATATTAATATTAGTTATTAAAATTAGTTAATTAAAATATTAAAATATCGATAAATAAATTCAAATAAATTCGAAATATTGCAAATTACCTCAAAATCTTTCAAACTTTGGTCATCGAATTCTTCAGATCGACTTATAATATATATATTATTCCAAACTTTATAAAGATTCAACAACTTTTTATTTAATGCTTCACTGATATCTAAGTTATCCAGAGCAAATATCATAACTTTCATAAGATTATGATACTCATTAGCTGTAATTCTAGAAAGTGATTGAATTTCATTTTTGAATATTTTAAGTTACGGAAATCTAGGAATATTCACTAATCTTTTATCCACTTTATCAAGTATTGAAGCTCCATATGATTGTTTTAAAAGATCATATGTAAAAGTAATTTGATAATTAAATAATTCCAAATCTAAATGATGCATTCTATCAATTACCGTAGCTTTGTAAATATTGATATTTATAAAATAAAAAATTTATATTAAATTATATATTATATATTACGAATTTTAATCTTTTTTTAAAATAATTTAATTGGTAATTCAGATATGAAACAGAACAAATTTCAATAATTTATTGTGCTATATTTACTATATAACT